TTTCAATAAGTAAATTATAAAGAAATTTTAATGAAAATATGTATAAGATCTTTAAAATTGTTTATAAAAATAATATACTAAGTATGTATATTAATAAAATATATGTATATAATTCATCAGTTCGGTTTGGTTATTTCTTCGGGTTTTTTTGAATAAAACCATAACCAAACCAAATACTATCGGTTTTCAAAAATCTAAAACCAAACCAAACCAAACCCAAATAAAATCGGTTTTATTTTATCGGTTTGGTTTGGTTTTTCGGTTTGGATCGGTTTTTATCCAAACCGTGAACACCCCTAGGGCCAAGTATATATGCCCTATGTCAGTTGGCCCATATGTAAAAATAAATAGTGAAATTTAGGTTTTTGGTTCATAAGAATTATTTTGAAGAAGAAAAAAAAAAAAAAAAAAGATGAGAGCAGCCGTTAAACAAGACTTTGTTGGGGCAATAGCAACGAAGAGTGACAACTCTCCAGGTAAGAAAATTTCAATTAGTTTGTAATGTTGTCTCTGCATACATTGATTTAGCCATATATACGTTGGGTGGGGGGGAGGAGAAATTGATTTTTTTTGCAAACTTTTTTTGGAGATGTTGCAATGTGATTCTTTACATTTGTTGATTAAATCAAGAAAGAAATTGTTGCTAGGTAAAATCACGAGTAATGACGAGCTAAGATGGGATATGTTAGTGGGATAGAGAAATTGCAATTTCATTACGGTATATTTTCCAGAACTAGTTGGTTCCTCTTTTTATTTGTATTTATTTTTAGTTATCACATTACGATTCATGTTTTGACACATTGTGATAGGTAATTTAATATTAGGTGCATTGTATTATATGAATACCATTAGATTTATGTTATTTGGAGAAAATGAGACTTGACCCTAGATTTGAATTTAAGAAATATGAGAGTTGGGATATGAAGCATCAAGATTAGGAACTTGATTATAGATTTGTTCTCTATGATTTATGGGTAAATTATGTATATACTATTTTATATAATTTTACTAAAATTCCAAATTGTCCTTGTGGGCTTCGATTAAACTTTTTCGGTGAGTTTTGGGGTATGGGTTAGAAGTATAGCAAAATGGGTGTGTACAAACTCGTTTACTTACAAATAATGTATATTTTATAGTTTAGGAATGTTTTGAAACTTTGCAAAAAGGAAGGCAAAATCTTGAGGATTCGTGACACATGTTCGACATTCGAGGTATGTTAAGAATTCATAGACTTCATGGATGGACGTTTTTCTAATTAAAGATTAAACATGGAATAGTTAATGGGTTAGAGCGACAGATGGAGTCTCGTACCAATGGCGTGACGGGCATTGGTAAGAGTACTAGTGTTATAGAAGGGAAAGTTTGTTACTATGAATGACATATTGTAATTAGAGAATGCAAAAGCATATGTACATTAGCTGATGTATTATTGACTCTTTTTCTTTGTGTGGTTGTGTTTCTTTATTGAACCCGTAAATTTATGATAGTTGAGGTGATTATATGTTAAATCGATATTGATTGATTGAGATGCATCATCATCCCCCTATTTTGTTGATATTATATTGTGCACATGCATTGACATGGGATTGAGTATGAATAAAGGCCTGACACATGGAGATCGTCCATGTTGAGTTTAATTTATTTTTATAAGTTGGGTATGTGGAGATTGTCTATGTTGGGGATGGTTTGATTTTATGATAGTGCATTGAGATCGTCAACACATACACGTGGAGATCATCCGTGTCGGTATATGGACCTCGCGAGTCCCCCATGAGTCATGAAATCTCGATGTTTTTCTGAGAATTATCGTGTATATACGATTGAGAGAGTACTTCACATAATTTCATGGTGCCGCATTGCATCTCATTATATAATTCATTCTTGTTTGATTATATGCTTCATTGGTGTTTGAATATAATGTGTCATTTGTTTCTCCCTTTCAGATGAAACTTGGCTGTTAAGTATAATGTAGACTTGAAAAATTAAAGGATGATTTTCTTATATACTCATGTCGCTACTTCTTCTTTGTCGGTCTATGAGACATACTAGGTACACGTGATTTCGTACTCATACTATACTTATTGCATTCTTTTGTGGTGCAGATTGAATTTGAATATGAGCGCATCTCGCGGAGCTTACCGAGTTTAAGCTTGAGTTATCTTGGAGTTGTAGTGAGTTGCTTGGCTGATCCATGGTCCAATCTCCCTCTAACTTTTTATTCATCCTGTTGGTCTAATATTAAGACATGATATTTCTTACGTCTAGACATATCATTTTAGTTTGAGAACGACATCATGTTTTATAAGTTCATGTACTTATGACACTAAATCTGGGATAGTATTTTAGCTTATCACATTTTATATTTGTGAAAGACTTAGTGTACATGATATTTTACTTGTCACATATTTAAGTTGAATTGGTAAACTTATTGGGTTGACTTACATATTGGCTGGGACCATATGTTCCATCACGACTTATATTCTTGAGTCGTGACCAATCGAAATGTCATGATCATGTTCTCAATTTCATTTCTAATAATACCTCTTACTCCAACCTTTTTTTGATTTCACATGTATCTCCCATCTGTATTAAGTGAGATATCAGAATGTCATAATCATGTTCCTAATTCAATTTTTTTACAATACCTCCCACTCATACCCATTTTACAAGAATATTACACAGTTGAAGTTCAATATGATCAACAACTGGCCATTCAAATGACCTTCTAATTAACTTAATTTAAGGTTAAAGACTTTACACATATCTATATGATTCGAGGAGTACATGTAGAGATCTAATCTTTTTTCCACAGCTCCTAGAAAATAAATGTAGGTATGATTTTAGAACGAAGGGGCGATATTGATTAATATGTTGGTTTCATTACCAGGTGTATACATAAGAGTTATCTGAAATTTGGTCAGTATTAGACCAAATGAATTTGGAAATATAAGACCATACTCTTTGTATTGAATAGCATTTGAAGAAGAGATTTTGATTGAGAATACTTGGATCTGAAGATTATAGTTCGAACAAATATAATGAATAAACATTAGGTAAGACTTTGTAGGGCATATGATTACACAACTAGAAACATCGAAGAATTTCCTAAAATGGCTTTCCTACTTTTTCCTTTTTAAATCTCCCCTCAGAATCATGGCGAAGATTATGTATATCATCATATCATATTACTAAAAGTGGGAAGCTCCAAACTCTAAAGTTGGATTACCATTTTACCCCTATTCTATATTAAAATTAAAATATAATTAAAAAAATCTAACTAAATATTAAACAATAATGTTTTAATTACCTTTCAAAAAATAATAAATCATAATTAGCATAGTGAAACGTGTATATGCAATTTATAACATTTAGTTTTAAAAAAAAGTACTCTTAATTGCAATTTGCAACAATCAAGATTTAAATAAGCAATTTTTATAACAATAAATCATTATTCTAACAAAAATATAATAATAAATCACTATTAATTTTAGTAAAGAATCTTAATTGCTAGAATACAAAAGATTGAATCGAAAGGGTTATTGATTGAATCGAAAGGTTTTTCAGAAGAAGAAAAGTCAATTAGGACTTAAAGATTTATATAAGACACTTTCTTTTGTTGTCTGTTCAAGAATACATCTATGCTTATAGCTTGAATTGTCTCTTAAATTTCTATTCCCTTTTCAAATAAGTTTTTTAATCAAGTTATGTATTATTCATTTTTATGTTTTTCTTGCCATTGATTTATCATTCTGATTGTTAAATTTTCATGCAGCATAGCCCCAAACATAATTTCATCAGAGTTGAGGAGGTATGGCTTTTTCAATAATAAATTATCAAATCAATTATTTTCATGTTTATATTGTTTAAACTTCTATTCCCTTTTCAAGTTATATATTATTCATTTTTATGTTTTTTTCAAGTTATATATTACTCATTTTTATGTTTTCTCTTGCCATTGATTTATCGTTCTGATTGTTAAATTTTCATGCAACATAGTCCAAACATAATTTCATCAGAGTTGAGGAGGTATGAGTTTTCAATAATAAATTATCAAATCAATTATTGTCATGTTTATATTGTATATATGTACATACATGATCGTGAACTTGTAGATTTCACTTTTATTTCACATATATAATCCTTCCTCAAATAGCAAAGTTACTTAATTGAATATTGCTTAATTTAAGAAATTAAAATACTAGTTTTGCTGATGTTTTGATGGTAAATGTGGTTTCGATGTTTATGGTGCTTCAATTTTCTACAGTTTCGGTATGTGTGTAACATCTCGCTAATTGAAAGAACTAGAAAGAAGTTAAAAATTGGAAATAGTCATTTTTGGAAAAAATATAAAAATCTGGAAAATTTGTTAAGTATGTTAAATTGAGTTTTTGGTCAACTTCAAGCGACAATAATTCGTAGCTCAGGATGAGTTAGGTGTGTTTCCAGATATTGTAGGAAAGATCATGGAATAATCTTTCCAACGCCACTGAGCTTGCGCGATTCCGAGTTCGTGTGAGTGAGATATGCCCATTTGAAGTTGGGTTGTTTAATTAAGGAAAGTCTAAACCGGATTTTGAAAGGGTATTTTAGTCTTTTCCTTACCCAATTATTTTAATTCGATTTTAGGAGTTTAATTGGGGTCAATTCAGAATTTGGTCAGTTTAGAAAATTGGAAATTTACGCTAGGGCTTGGAGAAAGGAGAAAAGAGGAGAAGGAGAAAAGGCAAGATTCGTCAAGATCGTACAATTTGGTTGTGGATTTCGCCAGGGATTTAATCCTACAAGGTATGTGAGTTCACATAGCGTTGGATTCGTTCACCCACACGCCAAACATGTTTAATTCAATGTAATTTTCGTCCTAAAAGATTGAGGATTTGATGTTCTTGAGTTGTGTTCTTGAATTGCTTTCATTCTTGAACTTATATGATTGATGAGTTTTCTTGAGATGTCTTATCGCTTTTAAGAGTTGTTTCGAGTTAGATTCCAGTGTATATGTTTTGGGTATCTGAATCTAAGAAGATATTGAGAAAAGGAATTGAGTTTAATCGAATTAAGGTTAGAAAACGAGAAGAAAATTCGTCAAGAATTCACCTGGGGAGGGCCTAGCACGGAGCGCCCCATCTGCGCTAGAGAGGCTGGGGTGGCGCGCCAGTAGTGAGCCCAAAATGAGTCTCTGAACTTTGGGGGATGACGCGGCGCAGCAGAAGTGCGCCAGGGCCGTCCACCCCAACCCGTTTTTCATCGTTTAGCCCGTTTAAGTCCTTCTAAAGTGTACTAACACTTCCTATTGATTCTAAATACTCTAAATGATTTCTAAACACCTAGAAATCATCCATAAACTTGAAGCATAACCTTGAATCCATAAATTCAAATTCAAGGAAAGTTAAGAGTCAAGTAAAGAGGTTAAGAGTTAAGTGAAGTTCATAGAGTTTTCCAAAAGTCTTTTACAAATGTTTTAACTTTGTGTTAAGACTTAAACTTGAGTTGACTAAAGAGTTAAGAGTAAAGTTCATTTCTTCAAAGAGTATACGGGAACTAAGTATTCCCAAAAGTTAGAAATGTTTTCACATTTGAGCAAGAAAGGGAACATCGATTCCAAGAGAGCTTTTAAGCTAAGTTTTGAGTAATTATCTCAAACCAAAGAAAAAAGTTTTGTTTTAAAAACATATGAGCTAAGTACATTTTGGGAGTAGTATTGAGCCCCGATATGGGGACGCGAGTTCATAATAACTCAAGTCTCCATAAACCATGTAGCCATCATGGGTAGTAAATGATCATACTTTTTAGATGATTCCTTAGTGCTTTTAAGCATAGACTATTTATGATATAAATGGAATAAAGAACTAATTTCCTTCACAATTTTCTACCTTGTGCATCCCCTTCTGCCTCTTAAGAATTTACGCATAACACATCGTATCTAGAGTTTGCCTTTGGAAATCTGTCTATAAACATTCCTGTCTCATGATGAAAACCTTCCTAATCAATCTAATTAAGAAGCAATGTTAGGTACCTCCATCTATATGATTGGAATCCTTCTTCCTTGTTTTAACTCATGAAATCTACAACTTATTACAATCAATCCCTACCACTCAGAATTTTTTCTCCTTCCATCAATATTTATCTTAGGGGAATTTATTACAATTTCTAATGGTCGATAGCCATTCAAATTTCTTTCTAATTGAATTAAAAATTAGCTAAAATGTTAATATTCTAGATCTGTACACTATTAAAAGCATTTTCATGTATAATTATAGGAATAAAACTATAGACATGACATGAAAAATCATGACATTTCAAGAAACTAACATGTTTTCACAAATTATAACATAATCATTCCAAACGGAAGGAGCTAATGTCAAATATATAATAACTTTAACAAACCATGATGAAAGTTGATAACTGCTTCACAACATTCTACACATCGGAGACAATAAGAGTCTCATCATTAATCACACAAAAATTATAATAAAATACAAATTAATAATCTAATTTTCTAGCTCCACTGAATTTTCAAGGAAGCTAAACTTTCCACAAACTTCTAGTCCTATAGAATTCTCAAGGAAGCTAAACAACCTGTGAACACAATGGATGAATCTGTAGTAGGCGAAATTTGATTCAAGGTAAACTCGTCCACTTCTTTTTTCTGGATGTCATATTCTAGAAAACCGCCATCTCTTTTTCTCCATGAGATATTCTTATTTTCTTTCAAGTATATTATATCATCTAGGTAGCAATTTTGATTCCCAATGCCAATTAATGAGCCTAGTGTAGGAATTTTGATGTCATTAGTTCATGTCCACCATTCTCCATTTTTCTCTAGCAAACAGACCAAGAAATCCATTTCAACAAACACATAAAGATAAAGACGATTAGCAAAACTAGATATCGTCAGTATGACTACCAAATGTTTTCATGACATTAGTTCATGTCCACCATTCTCCATTTTTCTCTAGCAAACAGACCAAGAAATCCATTTCAACAAACACATAAAGATAAAGACGATTAGCAAAACTAGATATCGTCAGTATGACTACCAAATGTTTTCATGACATTAGTTCATGTCCACCATTCTCCATTTTTCTCTAGCAAACAGACCAAGAAATCCATTTCAACAAACACATAAAGATAAAGACGATTAGCAAAACTAGATATCGTCATATGACAACCAAATGTTGCGATGGGACAGGTGTTACAACAAATTTCTCATTTGCCACAATCAAAGAAATAATGGCAAAATTATTAAATTCAATACTACCATTTCCTTCAACCGATCTAGTTTCCATCATGTTAACTGTATCATCTAATGAAACTGTATTTTGGTCAAACAAGTGATAACCAGCCGGAATAGTGCCAATGTTTTTCCAAGACTCATTCTTCACAGAGTATATTCGAACAATATAACGACTATCTTCTGCATTAATTACAAATATATAGCGATTATCTTATAATCATCACTTACAGAATCACACACAAAACCATATAGTGTTGATTCTTAAGATTTAACACATTTCGACACATAAAGATTAGGCTTTTTAACAATTTTATATTTTTGAATAGCTAAATTTATATAAATAATTTGAAGCTATACACCATACATAAAAAGCCGTTACAAGAACCCATCAATGGATATGAATCATCTTGGGACATAGAACAGTTTGGTAGTTGGGGAGACACAACTTAAGAATTCACACTCAGTGAAGATACATTTATTGAACCGATGTTGAATGATAGCATGTAATATTCCAAACAAGGAGATGGACTTATTTTCGATGAAATTAATAGAATTTTTTGAAGATTAATATTGGACGATGATTCGTCAATTTGCAACTTGTTGAAATTAGGGTCATTGATGATTGAACAACATGTTTTGTACACAACCTTGAAGCATTGAAGAGATTCAACAAGTAGTTTTGAGAGGATGCAAGTGATTGCATCATCTCAAAAGTTGGTATTTTTTCTTGATTGGAGACTCATTGGACTTATGTTTACTTAGGATTTTAGGTTTTCTTTTTTTATGTATATATACTAGTTTTCGAAAACGAGCATTGTACGTGTATTTCATGTTAATTAGTATAATTTTAAAAAAAATTATAATAAGTGTGCGATGTTTTACGTCGACTTTGAAGAGGAAAACATGCAGGTTTAGATCGATGAATTGTGACCATATTCAAATGATATTATTGTCATTGCAAGGCACATCACACAAAATTTTGTTATCAAATGAATTTCAAAAGTAATACTCTATCGACTTCAAAGATGCAATTCTTATAATATATCAAGTATTCAACATTCTAAATTTTGGTAAATTGAATGAGAGAAACCAAAAGAGGAAATTTTAAAAAAATAAAAAGATAAAAATGATATCTTTTAATATTTAATTAGTCAAATATTTTTATAATATTTTAATTTAGTGTAGGAGAAAAATCGTAATCTAACTTTATGGTTAGAATCTTTTCACATTGAATAATATACGTTGAAATGATATATGATAATGTTTCTGGAGGACACAAGAATTCCAATGTCAAAATGGATATGATTATTGATAGCAGAAGACTTTGTGGAGAACATTGAATATGTAATGTAGTATTGGTTTCAACGAGAAGTTATAACATATGTTAAAATCTATCAAGTTTATGATGTAGTGCTTCACTTTTTCTTGGAGAAGAGTTGAGAAGAAAATTGTATGTTGTCATTGAAGGGGCATGATTGCCAGTTTCAACATTTCTGTTGGAAGAGAAGTCGAGTAAGGTTTAGTTTTAGTGAACAACTTTCCAAGTTTGCATCTCTAGGCTCCAAAACGCGGAAGCCTTTCAACAAATCCTTAAGGTAACTGATAACGACCAATCGCGGAAACTCTTTTGATGGGATTCCCTTATGTTGAATTAGTTAATTCCAGTTTCTTAAGGTCTTGGATTGTTTTTAACCCCAGCTCCCTAGGATCTCCCACCTTTTTGATCCATTGATGACTCAAACTCACGACCTTAGGGTAGGAAGTAAGGGGTGCTTACCATCTAAGCAACTCCCTTTTGTTAGGGTCTTGGATTTGAGTTCTCATAGAGTGGATAGTTTGTCCTCAGCTACATTCATCGCATCAAGTACCTCACTGTTTGGGAAAATAAATATGGTTTTCATCCATAAGCACATTCTCCCCATATAAAAACTTTAATTGTGAATGCTAACAATAAGGTACTATTACCAGCATCTTTTTAAAGTGGAAAAACAATATAAAATATACTTGAATGAAACAAAATAAGATTATCAATATCTTAATAGTAAAAAATTGAGTCAAATAAGCACAAATTGGCAACAATATGTGACTATACATGTAAACATGGAAAAATAATACCTAATGTTATTCCCAAGCCCAATGAGTCTCCACTCAAGATAAAATATCGTCTTTGGAGATGATTGATCACTTGCATCCTCTCAAAATTGTATGTTGAATCTCTTCAATGCTTTAAGATTGTGCACAAATCATGGTGTTCAATCATCATGACCCCAATTTCATCAAGTTGCAATCGACATATCATCATCCGATATTAATCTTCAACTAATCTTATTAATTTCGTCAAAAATAACTACATCTCCTTGTTTGGAATATAACATGTTAGCATTTCACATTGGTTCATTAAATGCACTGTCATTGAATGTGAATTCCCATGTTGTTTCTCTCCAACTACAGAACTTCTTAATGTCCTAGGATGTTTCATATCCATTGGTCAGTTCTTGTAAGTGCTTATTATGTATGGTGTATAGCTTCAAAATATTTATATGAAACCCAGATATTCAATAATAATAAATTGTTAAAAAGCATAATCCTTAAGTGTTGAAACGCGTAAAATATTATGAATCAATGCTATATGGTTTTGTGTATGATTTGGTTAGTTCTTAATATAAGATAACCGCTACCTTTGGATTAATACAAAGGATAGCCATTACATTGTTTGAATATACTCTGTAAAGAATGAGTCTTGGAAAAAGATTGACATTGTTCCGTCTGGTTATCACTTCTTTGACCAAAATCCAGTTTCATTACATAGTACGGTTAACATGATGGAAACTAAACCGGTTGAAGGAAATGGTGGTAGTGACTCTAATAAGTTTTCCATTATTTCTTTGATTGTGGTTGATGAGATATTGTTGTAACACCCATCCCATCACAATATTGTGGGAGTGATATGAAGATATTCAATTTTGCTAATAGTCTCTATGTTTCTGTGTTTGCTGAGATGGATTTCTTGGTGTGTTCGCGGGAGAAAGATGGAGAATAATGGACATGGACTAATGTCTTGAAAATTCCTACACTAAGATCATTCATTGACCTTGGGAATCACTCAATCCTTCATCTAGATGATGACGAAGGAAGATCATTGCCTTTGCTTTGTCCTGACTCGACGATGTATTACCATTGGTAATAGTGGCACCAAGACCTTTAGCGTCAAGGTGAATTTCAGCATCGAGTACCCATGACAAGTAATTATTTCCAGAAATGTCAAGTGCCACGAACTCAAGCTTTGATAAATTCGACATGATAAAACTATCATAGAAAATAATTAAATTAGACTAAATTAAATAGTGAGTACACAAGTAATTAACAAAACTTTTTTTTTATCAATGATAATAACGTGATACATGTTATTGTATAAAGTAACTTCAATTAGTAAATTAATGTGTTAGTATCAAACTTCCGAGCAATTTAAATGAACATTCTGCCTAACATATAACTTAAATAATTTCTAGCAAAATTGCTAGATAAAATTAAAATTTAACTAATTTAAAATAGCATAATTCACTTGATGATTAGGCGAGAACATAAACTTTTTGGACTTATATATTTCCATTGTTTAACTACCAAAAATATACACACACTGTTTAACACCTAACCATTTCATAATATGTAGTATATTATATTAGAGTGATTAATAATGAGAATTAAGTATATGAATACATACCGGAAGCTTAACTTGGAAAAATCGAAATGATATTAGAGTTTCGTGCGTATTATGAAACTTAAGAACAAAAGAACAATATAATAAGGAAGACAAGAAGAATATCACACAAGAGAAACAATATAAGATTACTTTCTTTCTTTCAAGTGTATTCAACATTATTCTCAACACCACTATTTATAGGATTACATTGAGGAATACCAAAGGGTGTCATAAACATTACATTAAACCTTGAGAATTACTATCCATTAAGGAGGAAATAAACCTAGGAGTTAAGGTCATCCAATTAACCATAATATCAACAACATTACTACCAATAAAGGATGAAATTAACCTAGGAGTTATGTCATCCATTTGACAACATTACTACTCATAAAGGAGGGAAATTAACTAAGGAGTTATGGTCATCCATTTAACCACCAAAATGATTTACAACAGTCTATATGTTCACGGGTAATTTGGGGTAATAGTTTACATTGCATATCATCATATATTATTATAAGTGGGAAGATCCAAAGTGCAAAGTTGAATTACCATTTTACCCCTGTACTGAATCAAAATATTAATTTTAAAAAATTAATTTATTAAATATTAAACATTAAATATTAATTATATCATATTATATACTTAATTAAAAGTGGAAGTTGTTAAGTCAAAAGTTGAAAAATGAAAATATCAATAGAAAGTCTAAATTAGATATTTTTATCCTTTTAACAACTAAATTTAATTATATTTTTAAAACCTTTTTCTTTTCTATAGTCTCTAATTGCATTTATCATTTTTTTCCCTTTTTTGTTTGAATTTTTCAAGCTAATTTTATAATTACCAAGGAAATTAAGAATTGCAGTAAATGAGATAGTGAAGAGTCATAGCATGATATGATACAATCAATTCCTATTCTTTTGTGGTGAAACTGTCAAATGACTATAAAGCTTCTAACTTTTTATTTTATTTATAAATATGGACTCAAAACGTATGAATACAAAAGCAACATCATCGGTGGACTGAAAAAGGTAATGATATGTTTTTTGCGTGTTAATTGATTTCCATGAAAAACTTAGAAGAGATGATACCTTAAATAGCAGGTATCGATTTTTTTTTTATTGAAGTAGGTCTAATCTGAAAATTGTATTGCAGAGACTGTTTCAGAAAGTACAACACCAACAAATAAAAAAGGGTAAAATGATAAATATACCTCCGAACTATCGTAAATGGTATCTAAATACCCTTCGTTATACTTTTAGGACTCTCATGTCCTTGCCGTCCAAAATTTGGAATGTATAAACCCTTATGTTAGGCAGCGAGACACGTGGCATCATCTCAATGACCCACCTAAAATTATTTAATTTTTAACCCAAAAAATAAAATATCTGTGACCCAAATAATTTAAACATCCGACCCAAATTATAACCCACGGACTGACCTAAACGAAAAATTATAACCCACCAACTAACCCAAATGAAAAAAAAAAGAAAAAAGAAAAATGCAACAACAGCCATTGCCTCTTTCATCTATTAATCACTTCTTCTTCAGTGAAATCTTTTCCAATTTCATCTTCTTCAATGAAAATCACTGCCTCTTCAATGCCTCTCTTTTTCTTAGCTTTTCATGACACATTTTCAATTGTATTTTAGCATTTTAGTGATGTTTTTCTTTCGATTATTGTTTTCATTGGTTTGAGTAACAAGTGGAAGTTTCAGTAGTGTGAAGTTCGAGTATCCACTCATCGCCTAAATCGCTGCCTCTCCCGATCAGTTGAAAAGTGTGAGATACAAAATTTAAGCATTACTTGAAAAAATCATTGAGTATTACGTCAAATTCCGTTTTCACCTCATCCACAACTGGAGCATCTGTTGTTGCTCTACCAGGGCGGCGACGACGGCAGCGGGACTACCACCTCCGATGCTTTGACAGAGGCAAAAGGACGAGCGAAAGTTGCTCGGTGCTGATGGAGTTTGGGAATGCGAATGGGCCGGGAGTTCTAGTATTTTGGTGGGGAAGGAAATTGAAGCTTTTAATTAATTGGAGCTTGAAAAATGAAGAACTTGGCCAGAAGTTCTTTGAGAAATCGGAGAAATCTACAGAAGATGGAGAAGTGTTTTGGGTTATAATTTGGGGCGGGTATTATCTTATTTGGGTGGGTTTTAAAATTATTTTAGGTGGGTTTTCAAAATTATGGGTCAAAATTTAATAAATTTCGGATATGCATTTTAGATTGAAACACGTGTCCCGCCGTTAGTAGAAAGGGTACATATGTTCCAAATTTTGGACGGCAAGGACATGAGAGTCCTAAAAGTATAACAGAGAGTATTTAGATATCATTTACGATAGTTCGGGGATATATTTGTCTTTTTTTCCAATAAAAAACCATAGGTATTTTTCTTTATTATTATCTTTTCTTATTTTGTATTTTTGACTAATTAAGTACTTTTCCTCATTATTTTTATGTTCCCTTTTCCATTTAATGAAAATTATAATCGACGCATAGGAAACACTATCTGTCACTTTGTTGACTTTTCAACTCCTCCATTGAATAATTTGACTGAAATCACAAGCCAATCTAGAACAATTAAATCTGGTCAATTTATTTAGTAGAATGTCCCATCATAAACTCCCTTTTATTATATAGTAGAATAGAAAACGATAGATTAATTTCAAGAATCAATCGAATTTTTTTATATGTATTTATTTTTGAAATATTTTATGTTGTCAATTATCATGATTTATGACAAATAAATTAAAATGGACCCAATATATGTTATTTTTGTTGTCTCAATTTATGTGACACAAATGAAATTTGGAGAGTCATCCAAATTTTCATATTTTTTTTAAAAATGTTTTAAGTTATTAATTATTGTG